TCACCTAACACGAAAGCTAGATAGATTTTGATTAACCTTTCTTACAAATTTTCTATTAAGAACCCATTGTAGTTAATTACATGTATAGAGAAAAAATCTCTTATGAAACTCTCAATTAAGGCTATTACCATGTGTTTAAGATTTTCAAAGTGTAGCTTTTATGATTGCTTATTTGAAATCTCAAATTGAGAAAGATCGATGTGGCACAATTTATATTGGAATCTAAAAGAAAAAAAAATAACAAATGCTCAGATACTAAGAAGCTTATTTAAACTTCTACTATCATATGATTTGATTTTATTGGTTTTTAAATTGATTGGATTTATTTGTTTAAATTGACATTTTATTAAAAAATTGGCACTTATATCCCAATGATATCAAATCATGAGAAAAAGCCTAGGAGTTGAGGATGTTATGTCCTAGCAAGACAAACAACCTTTGAGTTGTAAGATTAAATGTAACATCTACTAACCAAGTAGAACCACAAATATAGTCTAACAAAAATGCAAACAAATTGGGACAATCCCACAAAGAGCTGAAATAATCTATATTTGACTTTATAATCCTGTCAGGTTATGACTATAAGCTAAACTCACCTGACATCATAATACCATGCAAGTTTAATCTTAAGAAATGTCAGATAGGCTATGCTATTATTTGTTAGAGAGAGAAAGTCTTAAAACTTGATTTTAAAAATCATGATGCTTAAGTATGAATGGAATGCAAATGTTTATAGCTAATGCAAAAAAAAATTTACAATTTCAAATTTACAAATTTAATAATCCTAGTTAAACTAAGAAAATTTAATTGATTCATATTTTAGTGTTGAGTGTTTAAGCAAGTTTATGTAATGTTTTCAGTCCTAAATGATGCATGCTTAAAAATCTATGAAGTCAAGTCGGTATAAGAAGTTAGTTCGCCCAATAAAGGAGGTGATCCTTATAGTTTATATCCATCATTTTCATGTAATGGGTGAAAGCTCGACTGAAAAAAAAAAGAAAATAAATAATTTTAAACTTTCATATGTGTATGGTTTCCCTAATTTTTAATTTTTCTACAAGAGTTTTACTCAAATTATTTAAATATATGCAAATAATTTAACTAAGATTTGAATCGATTAATTTATTTAATTTAGTTTTAAATTTGATTCATAAGAAATTAAGTATAGTTATTTAAGTTGGGTAGAAAATTTAACCTAAGAGTCTATCACAACAATCCAATTTGAAAAGTATACCGCCAATAAACCTTTAAAATATATATTTAAAATTAAAGCAAGAGAAAGTGTTTTTCTATTGGTTAGAATTTTTTCCTCGAAAGGGTTTAGTAACAGATTGGTTTTTTCAAGTAATTCTCCTATTGAAGTTGACAATTGAGACCTAGTAGTCCTTATTCTCTTCTGAGATATAACATGCATTAGAATTTCATATTATATTTAAGTTCTCTTAACCTTATAAGAAATTCTAGGGATCCACATTCCTTACAAAAATTTGTTAAAATCTAATGAAACCTAAGTTGCATTTCCTCATGACTCATCTTTCATAACCATTCACACAATGTGAATATTCTATGTTATTTCGTCATTGCTCTTTCGAGTTATAATGGGTCACAACAAATTTTAACAAATTATTTGGCTAGTACAGCATATAAATTACGTCTAGAGATATACTCATCATAAAAATAAAGATCAATTCAAAATATTCACAACCCTAAAAATCTAACCTATTTTTTTCAAGAGAAGAGTATAAAAAATATACTCACTACACATGAAAAACACTAAAGAAAATTTCATTCAATTCAAGCAAATTAACCAAAAATGTGTTTACAATAATAATCAAATAAAATTTCACATGATACTTAGCTTTTGCCATCTGAAAAGAGAAGCAAATTCCATTGAACAATATTTTCCACAGTGCTACACAAGATGTTGTTGTTCCACAGTGCTACACAAGATGCTTTCATAAACCCCTTACAGATTCTCTCAAATTCCCCTCTTAAATCTCTCTAGAACAAGAGTCGCTACTCCTACCTGTTGTCTCTAGAGAATTCCAAGATCTGGAACTTCTTCCCAACTCCTAATATTGCCAAAACTCCCCGTCTGAACCATCAGCAGCCGTTAAATAACTTTAAGAGTCATGTAGAAAGTAACTGTCTAAACTGCAACACCTAGGTACCCAGTCTGTGGAGCCTAAGCGTCGGGCTCTCTATCTGCTTAAAAAGATTAGGCTCCTAGGCACCCATAACTTGGCGCCTAAGCGCCCAGAACCTGGCGCTAAGGTGTTCATCTGCAACACCTTGGCGTGCAAAAGTGGGTGCCTAGGCGCCAAACCACAACCAACACCTTTACTTTATTTAGTTTTGTTTTGCTCTTATTCAGCTCAAATTAATTCCAATGCTCCTACCTGTTATACATACATCATAAACATAAAAATACCTTCCATTAGCGTCATTCAAAAACTTTTGTAAAATAAAGAAGAAATTACGTATATCCGAAGACATATTAACACCCATCCACATGGGTGGCGATTCTTTGTGTTTAACTAATTGGCATGAATTACATCACCCATGTCATGGTTGATATGATTAAATGTAAGTTCATTTTCTTCTATTTTGTTTGTTTGCTGACCACCTAGTTGAGGCATACAAAATAGTAACCGAGTCTTTCCACTAGCTAAATATAGGTCGCATCAAGCATGTAAAGTGTCCGAACAACTTATTTTGTATTTGGGGAATAAAAGGGACTGACACATATGTGTTTTGTTGTCAAGCATAGTCACCACCTTCTTTTCTTCCATGCTCTAGGGATCATCCTATGTCATCATTTTTACAATGTCATAGCACCTTCCTCAAAGTGATTGGAGAAGAGTATTTCCATTCATTCATATTTTGTGTGTTGCTTATTGGGTGTGCCCATTTGACAAATTGGAACACCCTTTTTGCATATTTGTCTCATTTGGTCAAATTTTATTTCTGTGTATATGTGTATTCATCTTTTCATGGAATTCTTTGACTTTCAGTCTGTGCTTTTGCGGTTAAGTCTCTAAAGTCTTTAATTGAGCTTCTTGTGTACATCTCTTGATTTCTTTCCTAATGGAGTTTTGACCTAATGTCAGTGCCTTTGAGGTTTGGTTACCAAGCTACATTTCTTTTACATGATCATGCATTTTTGCTTGTGTGTATGATGATACACTAACAGGCTTCTTCCTTCGAACAAGACCCTATGTCCTATTGCACCATATAGGTCTAGGTTTTGTGAGTTAGTGCCCCGGTGGTAGTACTCAATTGACCATTAATTTGATCTATGGTGGCAATAAGGAAATAAGAATTACTCATTGGCTTATCTGAATGTGTAATGTGAATTACTCTATTATTGAAATATTTTGCAGGACTATTCCTAACGTAGGTCTAAGTTAAAAGTAGCTAGTTAGGGTGATAGGTGTTAACTTATTTGGATGTTGGGGGAGGGGGCCAACTTAGTGACCCTGGCTAGAACCTACGAGTATGTGCCTTAGCTCTGCACTGCACTTCTTACTTATAGATGATGGTTATGCAACACCTTGCAGTTCTTTTTTAGAACTAGAGCTATGGTGAGGTTAAATATTGTGGTGCACAACTATTATTCCTTTAGTTTGTGCTAACTGTTGTACACTTTGTGTTCCTTTGTGCAAGTTTTAATAAGCGTGAAACTTGTGCACTAGTATTATAAAGATCCTTCTTATAGGGCACAATATCAAATAGGGAGGGGCGTAATAATTTTTTAAACTAACATATTTTTGGTAGGTGATAGCTAGCTCTCCTCCCACTGGATGAAGACTTTTACATGTTACATGAAATAGCCCATATTGACCCCATTCTACAAGTTTAGTCTTTCTTTTATTAATTTCTCTACGTACTTCTAGAGTATGATTGTATACTAGATATAAGATGTGAGAACGAGTTTCTAAGGTATTTAATGTGCAAATACCTGTGGAGAGAATCAGAAGTTATTTATTCATGCCTCGTACCTTAATTCTATATTATACATTTGTGGTATAGATTTAAGACCAGGAGTGTATATGTGGAGTACGACTTCCATTTTTATTTTATGGGATCTGTTAACGATCCATTGGAATTCAACCTATTTTATTATTTATTAAGTGTTTGCTTTATTGCACTTGCATGTGTTTACTCTTTCTTATGAGTTTGTGGTTTATCTAGATATAGTTTCATGATTAGGCTCTTTAGGATAAAATATGTGCTATAAATTTTAACTTTAAAATATCTATACTAATAAAATGTAGGACTAAAGTTTAATAAGATTTTAAAATCAGATATTTTTTTTTCCGCACTTTATTTTCTTGCATGGCTTTGTGTTGGTTTTAGAATGATCATGTGCACGAATATCACCCCTAACATAATAATAGAGCCTTCATACTTAGGATGTCTTAGAAAATTGCATACATGCTGCATAACCAGAGAGAAAGTGCTCTCACTATCTTAACCTAATTGACTAAATATAAGTTTTATACGGTTAGGTGGCTATCTAGTGTGGTATATGGTCTGCTTATACTTAAATATTTTTATGTCATTACTCATAATTTCCTTTTCAAATCTTCCTTACCATAAAAGCATACTTTTTTCATAAGATTCAAAGCCCCTAAACTTGAATGCAATACCAATTTTGATTGAGTATGCATAGCTCTACAAATTTTGAGATACATCTTAATCATTTTTTAGGAGGACATGCTAAAATAATTTCTTCTATCTGATTAAAATTAGAAATTATTTCATTAACTTCATATAGCATCATGTTCTCTTTCTTTTCTTTTCATGCATTACCCGGTTTCCACCACCAAAACGGTTGGCCATGAGACGTGGCAACTTTACAACCACAAGTAATGATGCCACGTGGGCGGAGGTTGGTCCAATGGGTGGAATGGAATTATAGCCGTTGGTCGTTACCCGTTTGAAAATGCCAGAGAAATGCAGGTGTCTCTCTCAAAAAAAGCAAAGAGAGAAAAAAAAAGGGTGGAGGTTTAGAGAGGGAGAGATTCTTCTCTTCCTCTTGCTCTTCCTCTTCGTAATCTCTCCTCCATTTTTTTCTTCTCTTCATTGACAATGCTGGTTCAAATGACAAGCAGCAAGCAGTCAAAAATGGCGATCTGATCTGAAGCTGAAACCTGTTGAGTTCATGGAAGAAGGCTCAAGCCTGTCGATCGCCGCCGTGGCCGTAGATAAGGACAAGAACAGCAAAAATGCCATGAAATGGGCCATGAACAACCTCACCCACTCATCAGACATCATCCTCATCCACGTCAGGAGCAAATCCTCTCGTAAATACCTTGATTTCCCCTTTCATTTCCATGCACATATATGACAAAACCTGTAAAATATTTAATTGCAGCTCTTTTGTTCACCAATGCATTCAATGCTGTTTTGTAATATCTCTGTTATGGTGTTACAGTCACAGAAGTTAGCTCTGAGGTCACCAGAGAACAAGCAGATGCAGAGATAAATCAGTTGTTCCTTCATTACAGAGTGTTTTGTGCGAGCAAAGGGGTAAAAAATTAAAATTCATTATTATTTGTTAAATACTTTCCAAAGTAACTAAAATTTCAGATTTATTTATCTTGAATTATATTTGGACATTTAATTAATATTGTGCTTTGTCATGTCTGTAAGGAATTCCATGGAATATCCTCACCATTATTGAATCAATATTAGTGTTTGCTATGTTTATTCTTGTTAAGGAACAACCATAGGAAGGTTTAGTTGTTAAAAAGGTAAATATATTAGAATTGTGCAGCATGTATGTAAATGCCCCATAAAAAAATGTGTCCAATTTAATGAAATATATGATAAAATGATCGATGAAAATTATTAAAAACAATAGTTTAATTATAAATGCACTGAGCTGATCTGAGGATTACACTGTTTAATCACTTTTATTAATTGTTTTTTAACGTGTTTGTGGCTGCGCTTGGGGCAGTGGTTGCTAAGTGTGGTGGCTGCTAGAAAATTAGGATTTGACTTATTGAAACAAAAATTTGTAATAACCACCACAACTTTTTGAGCAGCAGCTTCTTCTACGCTACGCCAAACAAATTATATTTTGAAAAATGGATGTTTTAAATCTTAACCACAGATCGAGCATTATTCTTACCTGAGCAGCTTGTTCAAAGTTTCAGATGCAGGTGAAGGAGATAGTACTTGAATGCGCAGATATTTCAAAGGCCATAGTTGATTACATCAATACTAATTATATCCAAAACATCGTTGTAGGGGTCTCTAACAAGAGTCTGCTCATGAAGTATGGCTCCACCTTTCAAAATCACCAATTTTATTATCATCAATTGTACTGAGGCAAAGGCCAGAGCATAACATAAACTATTGTTTTTATCATGCAGAAAATTCAGACATCCTGATGTTCCAAGCTGTTTGATTAAATTAGCACCAGACTTCTGTACTGTTTATGTCATTTCCAAAGGTAAGCCAACCACAGTTCGATCAGCAAAAAGTCCATCTCCTTCAATTGCTATTCCTCCTAGACAATTTCCTCTGCTAACTTCTCAAAATCTCACTTCTGACCCTGAAGGCTCAGCCAGGCAATTTCCTCTAACCGTCTTAAAACATTTGTAATTTCTGAATTATTTTGAGCACATAGTATTAATTGCACTTTTGGCCTCAAACAGGATATCAGCAAAGGTGAACTGGAGAGGTTCAGCTCCAGCAACTCCACAACATGAAAGGACAGAAAGAAGATCACTTGATAGATTACCAGATTTTATGAAGACAAATTTAAGGGATGGGTCTCTTTCCATTGGTCATTCAGCACCTGATAGTCAGATTTTGGATAAAAATGATTCTTCGAGCAGGCCTCGGAGATCTGCTGACTATCATGACTTGCTTCCAGATGAAATTGATCTAATGAGAGGCCTTGGCTTCAGTTCCATGGATTTTGGAGACTCATTTGAACATTCTTTGGCCTCCATGAATAGCCCAAGAAGCAGCCTCTCCCCCATTGCTAGTGTAAGATGATTCAACAAAATGGCTTTATTATTGTTTAGCATTACCTAACTATAGTTATGAAATTTGTAGCATAATCGAGAGCTTGAGACTGAGATGAGAAAGCTGAAACTTGAGCTCAAGCAAACAATGGAGATGTACAGCAATGCTTGCAAAGAGGCAATTACAGCTAAACAGAAGGTGAGAGTACTAGAAATTGCATCCTGAAACTATATTTTTAGATAAGCTAACAAGAAAAAAGACATTGTGATTGCTGGTATGAAGGCTATGGAGCTTCAACAATGGAAACTTGAAGAATCCAAGAAATTTGAGGAACTGAAGCAAGCTGAAGAAGCAGCTCTTGCAATAGCAGAAATGGAGAAAGCAAAATGCAAAGCCGCCATTGAAGCTGCTGAAGCGGCAAAAAGGATTGCAGAACTTGAGTCACAGAAGAGAAAGAATGCTGAAATTAAAGCTCGGCGTGAGGCGGTGGAGAAGAAGAAAGCATTGGAAGAGCTGGTTCATAATGATATCAGATATAGAAAATACACAATTGAGGAGATTGAAGATGCTACTAATAAGTTCGCAGCTGAAAGAAAGATTGGTGAAGGTGGCTATGGACCAGTTTACAAGGGTTATTTGGATCATACACCGGTTGCCATAAAAATATTAAAACCAGATGCAGCACAGGGGAGGAAACAATTTCAGCAAGAGGTACAAATTCATCTAATATTTACAAAAATTTATCAAATTGAAAGGAAGGATATTGACATGAAATGTAAATAACAAATAAATTTTGATGATACTAAATTTTTCCAATACAAGTGTTAATTAATTTTTGCTTGAAGCTGCAGCAGATTTTGCTGTATTTACTTGGAAACATTAGGAGCAAATAAACAAGAAATTATAGACCACATCAACTCCATTTTAAATCAGACACTGAAAATATTAGTTTGCATGGAAATAGTACATCCAACATGAAGTTGCTCGTTCATCAAACAAAACAGAACATGATATTCATAAAATTTCTCAACATAATGGTGTGAAAACATAACTCAAATCCCAATTGATAAATTAATAATGATTGATGATCATTCAGGTTGAAGTTTTGAGCTGCATTCGACATCCCAACATGGTGCTACTCCTCGGCGCTTGCCCGGAATACGGATGCTTGGTATACGAGTTCATGGACAATGGGAGCTTAGATGATCGGCTCTTCCGGAGAAGAAACACCCCACCTCTTCCATGGAATGTTCGATTCAAAATAGCGGCAGAGATAGCAACGGCACTACTGTTTCTGCACCAGACCAAACCAGAACCGCTTGTTCATCGAGATCTCAAGCCGGCCAACATCCTATTAGATCGAAATTATGTTAGCAAGATCAGTGATGTCGGTCTGGCCAGACTCGTCCCACCATCCATAGCCGATAGTGTGACACAATACCACATGACTTCAGCAGCAGGAACATTTTGCTATATTGATCCTGAATACCAACAAACTGGAATGCTGGGAGTGAAGTCTGATGTTTACTCTCTCGGAGTAATGCTGCTTCAACTTATCACGGCAAAGCCACCGATGGGTCTCACTCATCATGTCGAGAGAGCGATTGAGAAAGGAACATTTTTGCAGTTGCTCGATCCGGCAATCACTGATTGGCCTGTAGAACAAGCTCTTGATTTTGCAAAACTTGCGCTAAAATGTGCTGAATTGAGGAGAAAGGACAGGCCTGATCTTGGAGCGGTGGTCTTTCCGGAGCTTAACAGACTAAGAGAGGTTGGGAATGAATATAAAACTAGCCACCAGCATAGTGTAACAAAGCACAACTTTCCACCAAGACCGCATAGCTACAACAATCTGCAGCGAAGATCGAGGTTGCTTGTGCAAAAGGTGTTTTTTTTTTAGCTTTGACACTAGCAAAACCATGTTTTGTTGCCTAAAGTTTAACTTTTGTAATGTTTTGACAGGAAAAGGCCGTAAACAATTCAAGCGGAGCGACGAAGTGGAAATTGGAATCTGACAGTGATTTTAAGGCCGGATAAATATTAAATATTTGAAGGAATGGTTGTGTGTTGATGGTTTTGGGTTTTGAGTTTGGTGAGAAGTGCAATGTAATTTGATGGTTGTCGAGTGAACGTAGGACTGACAATCACTAACATTGAATTTGTTATATTTTTCACTTGAATGGATTGTATGATCCTAAGCTTGCAATAGCCACACAGTTAAAAACACTGTAACACAAACTTGTAGGTTTCAAATATCTATATTGAGACTAAGTGGAATAGTTTTACATGGTTTAGCAAATCTTTCCCGCTGTGCAAAGCTCTCAATTATCAAAGGTGACCCAATAGTCTCATGTATCATAATAGAACTGAAATTCAAACTTCCGATAAAATAAATGCGATTGAAATATTTGGATACTGCTTTAGTCCGACTAAACATATGGAACTTATGAAGTTAACTAAGGAGGGGTGAAAAGATGATTAAAAGGACTTGAGAGGTCTGATATCAAATAGGAGTTAAGTTATTAGCACAAAGATGAGATTTTGAGTCCATCATCAAATGAACTTCAACTCACTTAAAGTAAATAAGAAAATAATGTGCAGCCATACTGTCTTCTACTCTAGGGGAGGAGAAGTATAATTACTTTTGAAGTACGCCTTTCCAAGATCTACGGTTTTCGACAAGCTAAAAGAAGAAACAGAGAAAAGTGGAGAAAAAAAAAAGAAATTCTACTTTCAGCATTGTTGGAAATGATTGAAAGGGCAAATGAAGTCTAGTCATCTCTGAATTTCATAGCTTTATTTTTACACGACCATTCTTCACATTCTACGACCAAATCTTTTACTAGCTGTCAACATTTTCAATGAAAAGGTCATGACAATATAGTTGGATATGTATGAGAAACTATTTGTTGTTGATAAGATATAATTATGAGTAAATTTTGTAAACTTATGATGTCTAAAGGATCCTCTGTTATTATGCATAATAATGAGTTTGACTTGATCATAAGCCAATTAAGCTTTGAAGATATCAAATTGGATGACAAATTTGTTCGTTAAGTCTACTTTTATTGCTTCATAGACGTTAAAACAAACAAAATTGAAGATATTCTTTTGCAGAGTGACGTTAAATAAATTGAAGTTAAATGATTTTGGTGTTAGTCATATGATGATTAAGATTTTCATCTTAATTTTGATGATAATAAAAATATGATTGGACATTGTAATTTGTGTACGAAGAATTTCAAGTACATGAAATCCATTATCAATCAAGACAACATTGCACATGGATTATTTATTATTCACAATTTTCAAAACCTAAATTGATCATACAAATACAACAAATGAATCGAGATAGATGCAATGGAGCTCTGAACGCATTCTTGAAGGTTCTATGAAGTTAGATGTAAGATTCATGTCTATAGAAATATCACTTGCATGATTGACCTAAAACTTCACTCCAATACTCTTAAAAATTGCTTGTTCATATATGTTCAATCAAAATAATAGCACAAATTTGTTTACATGGTTTTATGTTAGTTAACATACCTATTAAGGCAACAAAACTGTTTTTTAAAGGGCTTATATATGTCACATTTTTCAATGGGACTGTTTAAAAAACATTTTAAAATAATTAATAAATATACATTATTTCAAAATATTCAAAATCACATCACAAGAAATCATCATTTTATTCGAAAACTCTTTTCATGCAAAATAATGTAATTTACCAAAATTAGAAAAATAATATTTATTATGAAAACGTGCGCTTTCGCATACTAGCATCACACATTGGCACACCAATGATGCACTCTCACATGCCTATGGCTAGCAGCGTGCACCTACATGTTGACTACATCTGTGCATGCAGACAACCATATTTGCACACCCTCATGTGCTCCATTACATCCCCTTCATCGCTTCACTTAGCAAAATGAATAGTAACAATCAAGACAAATGGATTAAAGAAAATCAAATATTTTTTTATTAAAGTTTGATCATGATGACCATAAAGATATTTGTAAATAATATTTGAACATTAAAATATTTTATAATATTTACAATTTTATTTTATTAAAAATTACCAAAATTGTATTTTTTATAACAAAATAAATTTAAAGATAAAAAATATCTTCAAATACCTTAGTAACAAATTTTGCGCACTATCTTCTTGAAGAAAAAAAAAAACTCATTTCATCAGCAAAAGAATTTGAGGGAAAATTTTTAGATCTCCTTTTCAAGTACATTTCAATCTTAACTTTTTTTTTCTTGGTTTGGGGGTATTCAAGCACTAATGCTAGCAAAGGTTTGTGAGATTTGTTTTTGCTTATGTTTTATTTGAAATCATTATTTATATTTTTTTATTTTTCTCACCAAAATTATAAGGATCATTTGCAAATTACAAATATTGTGATAAAGAAAACTCACAGCAACTTAGATGTGCCCTTGTAGAACTTAAGAATAATTTTTAAGATAAAAAACCAATACGGATTTTCTTTTTTTCATTTGCTCAATAAAACTTTTTAAAGAAATTAATTAATTGTGGCAAAAATTAGTACAAACTAAATTCCCATTTTATAGATCTAATATTTTGAAAAAAAATGCTTCTTATGTATAAAATTAGAGAATAATATATTTTTATCTTATTATATATTGGTGGAAAATATCTAATATTATTAATTTCTCATTAAAAATTTATTTTATTGGGCTCAAATATTATCTTTAACAAGAAAAATAATTTTATTTTGTTAAAACATTATATTTTTATACACTTGGATCTTTATATTATTTTTTGGGTATAAAATTATCAATCCTTGTTAGTTCTTTAGGTTATGAGGTGATTAAAAGAAAGTTACAAAATTACCTCTTATATTTTTAGTGCTTTACTTTATAAAATTTTTATCTAATTTTACCTAGATCAAATTATATTTTTTTTTTATCTAACTAGTAATTGACATGAGTGCATCTTATGTTATATTTTAGATTAGTTTGTATTCGCCTAGTGTATAATATCATATTGAGTTGCACTCATCCAAAATGAGAGTATATTGATGTTGAGTGTCATTTTCTCCTTAAAGACATTTCTACATAAAATATTAGGATATTGTTATTGGGAAGTGGCTAACATAATGTGCATTTAGGGGCTAAATCATGTAAAAATCATTTGTGAACATAGATTCTTATAACTCTTCATTACTTCACTTTTATTACTTGCATAATTTATTAAATTAATTATAATTTCAAAAATCATAATTCTCCGGGTGCCATAATCATCCTACAGTCGAAGACCTCATTCTTAATGAAGGTATTTGATTGTGCAAGATTGATGAAATTCCTTCTTTTTCCTTGAATATTGATAACATAAATAGATTAAAAAAAAAACAATCATTAAAATAGAGAGGATCTAATTCCCAAAATAAAAGACAATATATTTATTTCTCATAAGATAAATAAACTTTTTGGTTGCCGAATTGCATAATTGACATATGATGAAATACTATCACAAAATAAAGTCGGAATAAAGGCAAAAACATAAATAAGAAACTATGAATATTCTTACAAAAAATTTCAAATTGCAAAAATTCTAAATGCTAATAATTTAATAAAATTATTGATATTGGACTTAAGGGCATCATTATATTTATTTTCTCATAAAAAATAATAATAAGTTACTTTTCCGACAAATTTTGCATATTAGTTTTTATAGATAATGATTCATTGACTATCATGGATATCAATGATGTTCTAAATAATAATTTGACTCACATAGAAGCAAGATTAGTAAAGGAAAGCACACTTATGGCCTTAGGAGAAACCTAATTTTTTATATGATGATTACATCATAAAAAGTAATATCATATTCAATACTAGTACATAAAAAAGTAGCAAAAAGAGTCATGGTGATTGACCAGGAAAATAAAAATGGTACAGTCTACAATTCAACAAATATAAGAATTAAAGAAAATAAATGAATAACATATTTGAATACTGAAATTATCATTTAATGTCAAATATTATACCACATAAATAAAAAAAACCTACTTGATGTGCTAAACAAAATTTAAAAAAACAAAGAAGCCGAAAACAAAGATTGATAAAAATAAAAATTTTTAAAAAAACACAAGTTTACAATATATCAAATATATTTTTTAGTGAAGATGAATTTGTTTCTTAAAAATTAGAGGAAAACCTAAAACAAAGAAGCTGGAATTAATCCATTGAGATGTTTGCTCTATGCAACTCGATGTGTTGTGTCACATTCATAAAAGGAATATGCTAAAAATTTTATAGGATGAAAAAATTTAATTAAAAATAGGACTAATGTAAAATTAAATACCTATGATATGATAATGCTAAAGAGTATAAGGAAACAAAGTTTAACAATCATTGTGCTACTAATGAGATTTACAAGGAAAAAAATGTGTCCCATAAACTCCCAATGGAATGAAGTTAGTGACAAAATAAATATGACTTTGAATTACAGGGTTAAAAAATAATATTATATACAAAACTACTAAAATTATTTTAAACTGATGTAATAAATACAACATCATAACCCACTAATCAATGCTAGTTTATCACTCTTGATTTTTGGCTCTTTGAAGAAACTTAGACATTATTGAGAGGTTTGATTGGAGAAGTTCAGAGATAATAAGGAAGATTTATATTTGATTTTTATTGATTTAGAAAAAACTTACGATAAGGTTCCAAGAGATGTCCTTTGGAGCGTTCTTGAAAAGAAAGGTGTTGATAGGACTTATATTCAAGCCATTAAAGATATATATACTAGAGCTATTACTTGTGTTCGAACTGAAGGAGGATTGAACAAATATTTTCCTATTTCTGTTGAATTACATCAGGGATCGACTTTAAGCCCATATCTTTTTTGCTTTAGTTATGGATGGTCTTACTGGACATTTACAGGAGGATGTACCTTGGTGTATGCTTTTTGCTGATGATATTCTTCTCGTGGATAAAACAAGAGAGAAAGCCCGGGAAAAACTTGAATTATGGAGGTCTACATTGGAGTCTAAAGGCCTTCATTTGAGTAGAACTAAAACTGAATACATGCAATGTAATTTTAGTAGTAGTAGCGCTAGTAACAGAAGTGTAACTTTGGGTGATCAAATTATTAACAGGTGTGAACGATTTAGATATTTCGGGTTTATTGTTCAAAGCGATGATGATATAGATGGGGATGTTAAAAGTTGAATTCAAGTTGGTTGATTGAAATGGAGGAATGTTTCGGGCCTTTTGTGTGACAGACAAGTATCGCTTGGACTGAAAAGAAAATTTTATGAGAGGG